GTCAGTTTACCTACAGCAGTTCCGAATCTTTTTTTTTTTTTTTTTTTTTTTTTTTTGTGGACAAGCAACAATAGATTGATATTTTATTAATCATCTCAAACAATAGATAGGTGTCAATTGGGTATAAAACTCCAATAGTAAACCCCTAAGCAGCTAGCACATGTATGTAAACTTCACAAGCCACCCAGACAAAACTGTCATAAGATGATAGTTATAATAGACTTGTATTGGCAACTGTAAAAAGGTCACCGTTGAATAACAAGGCCACATAAAGTCATTGCGGAAACGAGACCACATAAAGTCATCGTAGGTAGATGAGACCACATAACACATCGCTAAATGTGAAAACCATATCCAGGCATCGTTGTAGCGAGGCCACAACACTCGCTAGGTGAGACGACATAACTAACTACGCAAAACTAAATTAAACTAAGCTAAATCAAACTAAACCAGACTACTCCAAACAACTACTCTGAGAGCGGAACTACATGTCGACTAATTCGTGGAGGAATACGAAACTCAGACAAAAGCCACCTGCAATGGCACAAAAATGGGTCTGCACCCTCAACAATTCAAAACAAACGGCAATTCCGAATCAATTTCTACGTTCAAAGGAGTATGTCTGTTAAACCAGAAATGCATGGAAGGAAAGATTAAAAAAATTCAAATTCGGAAAGCAGAAACAAACGTACTCTTTTTTTGGTAATGAGAATGCATTTCATTTAACAACCCAATAAAGTATAAATACAAGAACAAACTTTGTTTATAAAGTAGCTTAATCATATATTCAAGGACCGAAAATGTGGAACTTTATTCATTCATATTATATCCTCACCAACTGAAGGTACATAATTCCCACTAATTCTTGGCAAACCAAAGCTAAGTGCACTGCTGCCTAACCAGCATCATACAATAATTAATACTTCTAATTATTTTAAACTTGTAATTAATTTAATGCCCTCCTAATCGAGCTGAATGTCTGACGGATATGCAGCCCCAGCCTCCCAATCAGCAGGGATGACTTTGGTTGCCTGCATCCAGTCCACCTCTGCAGTTGCCCTGCCACTCACTATTTGGAACCTCAAGGAAAAGGCACCAGTTGGTGGGTTTTGAAGGTCCCACACTGCTCCATATACTCTCCTCATTGGCCTCCATTGCTGGTTATCCTCCTGCCCCAACAAAGGAAAGACTTGTTCGTCATCACGTGTGTAATGTTACACAAATCACATTCACGGAATAATTGTACTTCTAAACAGTTTGACAAAAGAACATCACTGTTCATTTTTGAATCACGTTGTATATCATATATTCCTCATTCGTACTAATAATAGAGACGCGAACGATCAGTCACTTGAATTAGCGAGTCTCACCTGTTTTAGAGATGGGATTTACAATATGACGTGTAAATACATTTGAAATAGTGTATGCATATGTGCTACCATGGTAATTTGCATTTCAAATATTGAGTTGGACTTGAATTTTTACCTGCAAAACCTCAACTGCTGTGATTTCATTTATCCCAGATACATACTGAATGACTAAGGCAAAGTAAAATGGATATTTACTGCCTTCATGGACTTTGAACACAAGTCCTTTACCAGAGAACCTGCAAGCGACCCTTCTGTATTCGATTTCAACGACACCGGAAGCAAATAAAACTTCAGATGAAGCTGGACTGTTTGCCAACTTTGCATAAGATCTTGGGCTGAAGATGAAGTCAGTTCTGTCGCCTTCGCCGTGGTCTGTCACCACCGTAGTTACCCCATCACTGCTGCAATGCTGAGGGATCTTGCACCTCACCTGATGAAACCAAACTCAAAATTAACTACTATACTTAACTAAGCAAGTTAATTATACTTTAATGAAGGCAGCAGGCGTGATTAATTGTTTATTCTTACTGCTAATCAGCATGATTATTACTTGTTCACATACTAAATTATTGAAATTTTTTGAGGAAGTCGATGTACCTGGTAGCATGCACCACAGCCAGTTCCATTCCTGTACAGCCTAGAAACTGCGGATACTTGACCGTCGTTGACCTTTGTTCCATATTCTCCAAACCCACAAGCTCCAGCTGCAACAGTATACCGTCGTGAATATAGACCATAATGCAAAAATACTATAGTGCATGCATGCAAATGTTCTGTTGTCAAACTGTCAAACAACTTAACTAACGTGGATATGTTGATGGACAGTGAATCTAAACCATTAATCATGTTGAAGTTATTTTGAATGTGAGTGTGAGTACGCTCACATTCTAGCAATGTCAACATGCTTCTGTTAATACAAGTCTGGTAAGAGAACATTACTCTACTGTATATGTTCAATATATTTCTTTTTCATGATAAGCTGACATGTTATTTTATCACACCATCAATCAAAATCATATGCTCAAACATGATTCTATTCGATTAATGCTCTAGCAACATAACTACGATACATACACACATATAGATATAATATATATAGTGAGAAGGCTATACATACTTGGGTTCCCGTAGCAATCTGGGCTACCATAATATGTTGCTCTAGAGGATACATATGTGTATTGAGAGGTACATAGAGCAGGCAAGAGTACCGTGATACAAAGAAACCAAGTTATGTGCTTAAGGAAAAACTCCATGTTTCTGTATGAAACAGTTTTTCCTAAACAATGCAAGTAAGTTAATTACGAAAAGTAAGACGATAATCAGATAGATTCAGCAAATGAGTTTAGGAGGGTTGTGAGAGCAAAGGTATCGTAGTACCAATATTTATAGTCGAGGCAGGGGGAGGGTGCATGCTGAGGTGGTACATACCTTTTTCTTCCACTTTGGAACTACAGCGTGAAAAAGAAATAGGAGAGCTCTGGAGTTTTGGATTAGATTGATAACGTGTACTTGAACGTGGGAGTTGGGACCTTCGATATTGATCTTTTTTGGAAGCCGGGACCGACACCAGTCTCGTTCTACAGGAGATATTTTCTCTTACAATTAAGACATAATTTCAATTGGGACACATGCTTAATAAATGGTGTTGCATGTTCTAAAGTGAACCACTAATCTAATAGACGTTTGCCACGTAGTAAATTAGTGACAAGAGTATCTCTTGTCCCACAGTCTCACTCTGTAAAAGAGACCTGTCTCTGATATATTGGACAGCTGCCTAATGTAATAAGCCTCGTCTTATCATTATTAAGTTCATCAAACATGAAATACGACCAATTTAAATAGTGTTGTCCTGTCTAGTCAGCCTTGGTCTTAGCACAAAGGATGTATAAAAACATACTACTATGTGTTAGTGGAAGGGAATATTATAGATTCACAAATAGCCTAGCTGAACTTTTTCTCTCGTTCCTTGTATCTGCAAGTTTAATTAAGGTTTTCTTAAACTATCATTACATTTGGGACCATTCTCCTTAGCTGTGTAGGTTGGCCGAAAGCCAATAATTTTGCACCTTGTGTGCGAATTATTAGAAATTTAATAGTGTAATTGATCACCTCTATATGGTTGTAATTAATCGCGTAATGAGAGAGATAATTTACAATCATTGACAATGAAGTATTCCTAGAGAAAAAAAAAACCAAAGCTTCCAAAGAGGGGAAGGATTGTTTCTAAATTTTGTAGCAGCAAATAACAAGTCCGTTGTGATGACATAGTCTGAACTATGCTTAATTTTCAATACACAATCACCTCTATTTTGCTCATCCCTCGTTCCAACCCTTCTCCGTTCTCTAAGTTTTTTGTTTCCTCTAGCTTTATTTCTATCGCCGATTTGGAGAACTTCAATGTGATATTTGCCCATTTATTTTTTTGGAGAAGAATTCTCTCTCCTCCAAATTTATCCCTTCTCTATTCCCTTTCTATTTAATTGGTCACAATTTAAGGTATGTCAACATCTTGTGTTGACTTCTTTATAGAGAAAGAAAAAGAGGAAAGTGAGAGAGGAGGGGACTGGAGGGAAGGGGATTTGGAGGGAGAGAATCTCACTCCTTATTTTTGGCCGACTTAGTCTGATGACAACTACTAATCACTATTAGGCGACTCTTTTTTGCTATTATGCGGAGTTAAATAATTGGGGATTGACTTTTCTCTATATCCTTCTTTTGTTCTATACGTTCTTCACGGCTAGATGTGATGCGTTCAATGGATGCGTGGCTTCAATTTGTGGTGATGGTTATGATTTAAGGTTATGGATTCATTTAGGGTTTTGGGCTATGCAGGTACATGTGGTTTATGCTAGATTTTGGTATTTCGGATTTTTTTTAGTTGTTTAGTTGAGTCTTTTCGAGTTATTGCTTTTGCAGTTATGTTGGAAACTGTAGTATCACTCTCCAAAGTATGTCACATGCAAGTCACGTGACCTACATTGATGAAAAATTGAATAAAATAGTTTTGAATCTTAAAATAGAAAAATTAACAATTTTTAATGAATTTAACAATTTATATTTTCAAAAAAAAAAAAAAAAGTTTAAAGACTTAATTTTCATTCGGATAATAACTCGAGTGGTCAATTTCAATTCAACTGGAAACTAGTATATGATCCAAGAGAATGTAATTGGTGTTTTGGGTCAAATACTGAGAGCTATGGGATATAAATACGTGGATTAATTGAAACCCACCAAAGCCATCATCATGTTTGGTTGGAACGCACTGGCCGCAAGTAGGTCTATCAGATTCAGACTAACTCGAATTACTAAAAACTAAGCCACCAACCTCTAATTGCGTGTCAAAGTTTAAGATTAGAGGAAGAGCACTTATATTTCCCATAGCAAATTGCGTTTAGGTTTTTGACCCGTTTGGCCTCAACCAACCAATACAAGACAAGTTTATTTGAAAATGTTGATGATTCTCCGCCTTGGAGGCGAGTGGCGAGAAGAAAAAGGTAAAGACTTAAAATTGTGGTAGGTTTCGAGTTTGATTTCTTCTGATTTGAAATTATGATATGGTAACAAGTTAATAACAAAAGGTGATTAATCATTTCATTCATTAACTTAACCATTAATCGTAATTAAACATGCTACCTTCAATCGAGTTTGGTTTTCATTCAATCAGAAATCGACCAACATCTTTAACTACACCGACACCAAGCGTACATGAAACATAAAAGGCAAAACACTTGCCTCATTTTTTTTCAACTGGTTCTACACATGGTTCTTTGTGCTCGATACAATTTAAGCTATGTATTATGCATTCCTTTGCTGCACTGAAAAATGTGTTACCACTTGGAAGCTGGATGCTCAGATTTTCCCGTGCATGGTGCGAATCTTGCCTGAGCATTCTCCAAGACAATCACCGCATAAACTTCAATCTGAAAAAGTTGATCTGAAATCATAAGTTTGCATGCACAACACACAATGAGACATACAATCGTCAACACAAATTTAGAACATGTAAACTTACTTGCATCAACAGAATGCATTGACATCAACTAGTCTTTGATTAAAGTATTTAGCATTTGCTGCATGGACATAGACAATTTGTGCTGTTTTGACATCAGCTACTTTTTAATTAGCACCTTAGACAAAAGCATAGTCTCTGACCTAAGCTCGTTGATCCAGAATTTATAATACAATTACGTAACAACGGGCAAGACAGAATTCACTAACCCAGTAATAACAGACTTGTATCTCAACTACAATGACGCAAACTTTCTAAACACGTATTAACTAATTTGTTCACAATGATTACACCATGGCTCCAGAAGGGAGTTCCAACTCAAAGAAAGTGACTTTCACAATAAATTGGGCTAAAAATGGACATTACTTGCATAAATGGGGCAGCCACTGAGAGCAAATAATGGAAGAGAAACTGTAGATACAATCCACTAAAATAAGTGTACGGTTCATATCCCCACATCTTCCACTTCCTAACATCTCTCTCTTACACTTGTAAATTGGGTTAAAAGGGAAAGGGCAAAAAGGTGATGCTGTTGGAGATGAAACCAAAATTACAAGCAATGAAAGATAATGTCCACAAAATCCTCACATCAGTCATCTTCACTCCCAAATTTACCAATCAACAAACGAAAAAAAGGCAAATATAAACTGTAAAGCAAGCGTCAACCCACAACTTTAGCCAGCACCTCTGCCAAGTGTCTCCTTACTGAATCTTACGGAGAAATAGTGGTAAAGGTGGTATGGACATGAAAAGAACAAGCAATTACTTTGCAATTCCAGAACCAACTTGTCCTCAGACTAGAACAACGGAGTGGTTGAGAATTGAAGCCAGGAGAGATTGTGAGTAGTGAAATTTTGAAAAGGCATAGAAATGATACCAGAGAGAGAAATTTCCTAGTCAACAGAAAGTATCGATCCAAAAACCCAGTTACTCTTCCATACTACGATTTTCAGATTATTATGGCCATCGTACCATAACATATGAGGTGGTTCCATCTTAGCTAAAAAGAGAAGTAAAATGTTGATGTTGTGGTATGATGTTATATGGTACCATCCAAGAACATGGAGTTTTCCAACCTCACCAGGGGTTGGTGTGGCTGAGGGAAAGGGGAGTACTTTATCAAATAACCAGAACTTAAACATGTAAAAAGTCTAACAACTAATCATAAGCATCGTTAATAAGTCCGAAAGCTTAGGACAATTGCTGACTACAGTACAATGGAACTTTGAGATTCATACTCCAACATTAGCATATGGTAAATAAATTTCAATGTAATGAAAAAACGGAAATGAATCATCCCATAACATACAATCTGACATTAGCTTGTTATTGCCCTGTACCTGAATATTCCTTCTGATAAGAATTCCAAGTCTTCCTATGGAATAAGTTGTGCTTTTTTAAGGTCTGAGACAACTCCCCTGTCTTCAGTACTCCTTTCATTGTACAGTACCTGGAAATTAATTTGAAAATGGATGACATAAGTTTGTTATGAGTTAGACTACAATGTATAAACTCATTCTATTTGAAATACCTTGTCAATGATGCCATATTCAACTGCCTCACTTGGACTAAAATATTTTGGACGCCTAATGTCTGCTTCAATTTGCTCAGTTGACTTTCCAATATGCTTTGCGAAGAGCTTAACCTAAAACATAAATCAGACAAAAAACACACTGAGTTGATAGGTGACCTAATGCACTTTTTTGTTGGTATGTAAGTCAATTTCTACGCTCAAATGCAAAGTTCTATACAATTTGTCACTTCTATACTCACAATACATACCACAATTAGTCATTTGTGTACTCACTTCAAGAATAACATTTTACAATAAGTTAACTTTAAAAGGAAAAGGCGGCTCCTCTCCATGTAGAAGATTGTGTTAGTTCTTTCTCTTTTGATCGATAGATTTGTTCCATCCCTCCATGTCAATTTCTACTTTCAGGGGTGTGCAGTGTCTAACACTGGAATGGACATGACTTGCGTAGGACATGAAAAAATACATATTTTGGAGTGTCCTTTGATTTTATTGACCATTTGCTTCTGGATACAGCTGGGACACGGTTAGGATACAGTTGTCAGTTTGTAATTATTTGAAAACTACATAGGTCAAATCTTAGTTTTGAAAACTGTAGTGTCAAATTATAGTATTAAAAAGATATGTTAAAGACCCAACCATCTCCCTATTCCTTCTCTCTGTATGAAAACCAAACAGGGACCTAGCGTTTTTTACTTTGTTGTGGAACTACAGGAGAAAGCCAGAGAAAGCTCCTAGAACTGAATGAGATGAGGAGACTAGAAGAGTGTACTGTAACTGACTCTATTCACCTTCTTTCTTGCATTTGCTGCACCAGCACCTTCTATCTATATTATTTTGTGTCATTTATTATATTTAAAGCTATATTATTGTTAATTTATGATTATTGTTGTTTAAGGGTTTATTACCGTCCTTGCCATATCCATGTCCAAATTTTTGGAAATTATCCCTGTCTTATCCCGGAACCCATAGATGACGACTGTGAAGTAGAAGCTGGAATTAATTAAGTCTTTCTTTTTTCTTCTTTTCGTTTATATTCCCATAAATTATTACACCTGAGCTATTTTTTGAACTTGTACACAGAGTAAACTAATTCCTTGTTTAATATACAATTCCAAAAATCAATACACATCCAAGATAAAACATATCACACCTGCTACAGAAAAGAGAAAATGGAAGAATAGAAATGAACTGAGCTAAAGGAAAATCTCTACAATTCTTTGAAAATTATGAAAAACCATAAACATCTAACCAGTAATTGAACTAGTCAATGAGAACAGAGTGAAGAACGGGAAGAAATATGTTTGTGACCACTAATCTTACCAACTCATCTTTAACATTCCTCACTTCCCTTCTTGTGAGTTCAATATCTGTTGCTTGGCCTTGAAACCTTGCAATCGGCTACAGAGAGATAAAGAAAGAAGAGAAAAGTTCAGGGAAGAATTTAATACATGTATAAGTTCCACTTAACCAGATAAAAAGTACAAATCCCAGCCTTCACAGTAAAAATCAGGAAACATATTAGATAATACACCGTCATGAAACTCAACAAATTAGTGATAAAGATCAAACCTGCTTCATCATGATTGTTGATGAGGGTAAAGCAGAACGGTTTCCCTTTGCACCAGCAGCTAAAAGTAAGGCAGCTTCTCCCCAAGCATTACCGACACAAAGAGTAAATATAGGAGGCTTGACATACCTGCAGTGAATAGAAATTAAGTTTAACCATTAGGGCAAAAATTCAGATCATCTCTAATATTCAGTGAATACAAACTAGAACTGATCAACACGATAATATAATCATAATGCATGAAATAACAGAAGAACGTAAGATGGATAACCTCATGACATCATATATTGCAAAAGCCTCTGTTTCATAACCCAACTTCTCACCGCCCTGAAGAATACAAGATAAGAGTCATATAATATGGACTAAAAGAAGAAACAAGGTGCCATTTTTGAAAATCTTCATTGTTCACAGTAAATGCACCCTTGTTTCGGTCAAAGTAGAAAGCGGTAGAAAAAAGGATTACAACTCAAGTAGCAAGTCATCTATCCTAAGACAACTACTGTCAAATTGATTAAACAGCATGGCTACCGCAAAAGAACTTGAATTATAATTACAGTTACAACTGAGGAAGAAGTCATGCAAAAGCAAACCAAAATTATAAAGGATAAGAGAAAATTGAAAGTGTAGTTACAAGTTACACATTATTTAACTATTCTTTCTAAAGAAGATTATCGGATGATAATACTGCTGCCACCAATGAAGGCATTACCATACAATCTCACAAACACCATAGTTGCACCACAAACCTTCTCCTTTGCAACCACCATAAGTTGGCATCGCCTATGATCGTATCAGAACTACCATTTAAATATATTGGAAATTTGAAAAAATCCCATTAATGCTACTACAACTAAATCTAGCACCAACACCAAACATCTAAGCAACTGCTGGTTTGAGATATATCAGTACTACTACCAGACTCCCACACAAGTTATTTTCCTGTATTTACCGATAAATACACTCTCTAATTACTACCAACTGATGGACTGACCCATACCATATGAATAAGAGAAAAACATTGGACGTACCTACAAAAGTTACAACAGAGGTGATGCCATTTTGTCATACGACCCTCCCCAAATCTACCCTTTTCACTATCAACGAACATTGGACCACTCGTATTCCAATTATCTCCTAATATCAAGACTTAATAATTAAAGTTCGGGTGTGCATTATTAACAAGTTATTTTCCTGTATTTACCGATAAATACACTCTCTAGTTACTACCAGCTGATGAACTGACTGATACCATATGAATAAGAGAAAAACACGGGCATCCCACAAAAGTCACAGCAGAGGTGATGCCATTTTGTGATACGACCCTCCCCAGATCTACCTTTTTACAATCAACGAACATCGGACCAGTCATATTCCAATTATCTCCTAATATCAAGACTTAATAATTAAAGTACGGGTGAGCATTATTAACTTTGGTTGTGCTTCAAAGATGCCAATGTGTGAAACAAGCAGGCAATAAAACTAAAGCTAGCGGAAAATAAACGAAGGGTCTCGACTGCTGACCTTGGTTGTTCCAGTGGAATTTATGTACAAGTAAATGGGCTTCGTGTCGTCTTCGTACTGCAGGTAGAGAAACTCGGCAAGTATCAACTCCGTCACCGAAGGAACAAGTGACATGCCCAAGTACACTATTCGATTTTTGTACAGATATGATGCCAGGTCCGGAGGCGGCTGCTCCCATGCACTTCCTCTTTGAAATGGAATAACCTAAACTCACAAATTTCAATTCGACTCGAAAATTCAAACTTCACTTACCCAATAATCGAAACCAACATTACCCAAAATCTCAAATTCCATCCAGATAAATTTGGATTGAAAATTTTCTGAAAAGGTAATTGGGGGGAGTACCATGGTGACGACGCCGCGTTTGGCTTTGGAGCCACGAAACGACGCCGGATTGAGGGAGGAAGGACGGAGCTTGTGGCCGGAGAAATCGGAGGAGAGGCTGTTGCCGGCGAAGGGAGAGAGGAAGCTGGTGGAGAGGGAAGCTCTGGGAAGGGAACGAGACGACGTCGGATGGGGGCGGGTAGTGTTTCGGGCTCGGCGAATGGTTGGCGTTGCTAACATGCAAGTGTGGAGCGCGAAGCTGGAAGCTGTGGTGGCCACCTCCATTGATGGTTTTCGAGCGGTCGTTCGGACTGGCGAACGCAGTAGCCAATTGGAAGAGGAAGATATCGAAACCAATATGGAGTGGGGCTCGTTTGGTTTTTGGGTTCTAAAATGTTTAGCCCATTACATAGGAAATTCGAGCCCAATACTTTTTTGGCCTACTTGGATTATTAGTCTCCATCTTGATAAGGTAGTTGAAAGATTGCCCCCGTGGTGAAATCTGTTACGGTTTAGGCCAACTGAAAATTTCGTCAACTCTTCGTTAATTATTAGCACGTGAGCCACACATATTAGGCTAAAACGGAACTCTATGTTAATTGTTAGCATGTGAGGCTAACTTTATCTTTGTAATCTCATATGCGAGCCTTTATCTATTAACAAATAATGGAGAGTTGACGAAATTTCATTTTTGGGCCTGAATCTTAACAGATTTCACAACAAGGGCTTAAATCCTAATTTTTTTTTTTTACCATAAGGGTTATCTTCCAACTATTCTATCACAACTGTGACAAATAATCAAATTAAACCTTTTTTAATATATAAGTATATATTTACTCTGAAAAGTGATAAAATAAATTGATATTAAATTTACACTCGTCATCCACGAAATCAGAACCTAAGACTTTTTACTCACATAAGACCCTCAACTTACAAATAAAGAAGGAAAAAAAATACTAAGTACGAGAAGTGGTAAAAGTCAAACTGTTTGGCTATAATCATCATGAAGATGTCAATCACCCAATTATAAATAACGTTTGAAATCTAATTTTATTTAAATCAGTGAGGAGGGAATCAAATTTGAGTTCTCTTTCAACATTATAGCCATCAAGATGAAGCTTATGTCTAAAATCAAAGCTATGAAACTCAAGCCAAATATCATAGTGATTTTCATTGCTCTAGTTTTCTCCAATTTTTATTTATTTTATTTTATTTTATTTTTATTTTTTGACAGGAAAAGAGAAAATTGAAGTCAAATTTGTATGTGTGGTGAAAATCCAGAATAGTTTCTTTTTACAGAACCCTAGAAACTTGAACAAATATCCAAAAAAGACTTGACTGCATCGTCCAGTGATTTCCACAAAACTATTATCTTGCCTTGTACACCCTGACTTATTTATGGCATTTGAATTGAGTACATCAAACAAGAATTCATTGACAACGATAAGCAAGGGCTTACAGAAGGAGAAAAGATGTGTGCAGAAATCTTTTCGCTTCGAAAATGCTTGCAAGGTTTCAAACAGTACAAAGAGGTATTTCACTTTCAACCAAACTTGTAATTAGATATGCTGGAAGGTTAAGAAAAGGAAAATGTACAATTTTCAGACCAAAAACACTGTATTTTATTTTGGCCAAAGGAAAAAGTTAGCTAATACCTCCAAGTCTAATAGAGAAAGGCTAGAAAGTACCCTTTGTGTAATATTTTCCAGTGTTGGTCCTATCTCAATACAAGCTAACAACCCTTCAAGTCCCTCCATCTTAGGTACAGTAGACCGGCTTGGTAGTGAGTGTAAGCTGCTGCCACAACCAAAATATGGAAAAGCTGGTGGCTGTGGCCAGCAATATCAAACTTCCCTGGTCTCCACCGCTCCGGTACCCTTGTAGCATAAATCAATGCCCCTAGTCCATAAAGAACCCCCATTAACACCTCATAGCCGGTAGTCTGGATGGCCTCTGGCTGATTCCTGAACACTATGAGCTTATGAACTAAAGGCACGACACCTGACACACCCATCACAAAGAAGAGAGAAGCACGATAGACACGAAACTTGGGTCCTTGAAAAAATGGGAGGAGGGAGAAAACAATGGTGGTGATACCTAGCACTGTTATGAAACTTAAGTAGAGGTTACGAAAGAAGGGGTTGCACATGAAGGAGTAGTAGACAGGAGGGTAAAATGAGGTTGTGATGAGTGCAGCGATGCCTGCATAGTCACATCTGAGCACTATGTAGGAAAGGCGCGCTGAATGGCAAGCAAGGAGATGACATGTACTGCTGGCTAGCAAGCAGAACATGGCTCCACCTAGGAATGCAAAGAAGGGCCACCTTGTTATGGATCGATTCATAAGGGGGGCCACCATGTTCATCACGTCATCTGTTACTCCATGCTGCAATTATTGAACAAATAACAAACATAAGGCTAGGAAACATGAAAACAAAAGGACTTCCAACTAAAAATTATTTTATCGTAGGGTATGTAGAACGAATTTTATTGAAAAGATTTCAAAGAAAAAATATGTATACCAGGTAACTCGGTAAAAATTTCATACATATAAGGGGAAGGAAAAGCGTGCAATAGCATTTGAAAACCACAAAAAGACATCTTTGCATCAGAGTTGCATTTTTTTAATAAAAGAGCAGGATAATACCAGAATAGAATTCTCTGTTTGATTGGCGTGGGAGAACCTGTCAGGCAAGCAATTGGCGAGAAGTTCCCTTATATTCCCTGAAACTGAGGAGAGAAAATCCATAGATGGAAAAGCTAGTGAAGGAAGGCAATTCAACAATTCTGGATGAATTTTGTGCAAATCGGCTCTTCTAATCATGTCAGACAAACGTTGCAGGGAAGACAGATCCATGAGGTCTGGAGCTTTTGTTGCTGTGTATATTGTTAGGAAAAGGAAAAGGAAGAACCCGATCAAATGCCTACAAAAAATGTGAAAAATGATTAAAAGCAATGGTCTTAAATTTCTTAAATTTAAAATGAGACAAGCAGCTTCCGAAAACAAAATAACCATTGGATTGTATACTGGTAATAAGTTTTAGGCACTAGAGTACTTACGTCCAGACATTAAGAGTCTCATTATGAATGGAGAAAATGCTTAGAAACACCTGCTTCAATGGCCATTCTGATCGGTAATAACCCAGAATGAACTCATTGTCTCTTAAAAAACCAGGCAATGAATGGTATCAATAAGCTGATACCTAACTTTCTTCCATAGTCTCTTTCCCTTTGCTTCCTTTAAACATGCTTCGTTTACATCTTCACAGTCAAATTGATTATCTAATGATCTTGTTTCTGCAACGAAAGAAACATTGAGCAGCATTTTCAAGCTAAACACATACAAGACTACAACTGAAGGTCTGACAAAAACCAAGTCCAACTGAAGGGAACATGCATAGTATGCACAAAATCTATAATCGTTTCACTCTTAGTTTTTAGTTTTCACCTTTTTGTTAGGAATAGAGGAGAAAAAACGGATGAACGAAAGTGGAGGAAGGGTGGTGGAAGGAAATGAAACAGATGTATAAGCAAAGTGAAAACTAAAAACTGGAAACAAGAATTAGCTTTTTTTATCTCTTCTAGTTTTTGTTTCCTACATTCTCTTTCATTTCTCGACCCCTCCCCATATACATTCCTTCTTGTCTCTATCAAGGGAGAAAAACAATGAAAACTAAAAATTAAAAACAAAATGATTATCAAACAGGCCCTAAGTAATACAAGTAGGGCTCCCTTGATCATTGATATGCAGGCCATCCACATTCTTGCTTTCCTCCGGGGTACATATGGCCGGCCCTTCGGGCGTCCCGGCAACACAAATATTGTTTCAAAGGTCCACAACATAATTTTTTTCCAATGCAATAAAGTTACATTGTGTCTATTTTTCATTGATAAAGGGATATTTCCATGGGTTTGCCTTTGTGTTTGCTCTAATATTGACATGATTATCCAAACCATATTGTTGGCTTTACAAGCAAGCATGATCCTTTTAATTTTACATAAGATTATCCAAGCCAAGATTTTTCTTGTGAAACTTAATGCCTTTTTCTCTTTTCTCCTCACCCATAACTACTAATTTTAAGATTAGCATTTCTAATCACAAGGATTATTCTAATCTTAAAGACATAACAAATTCTTTTGACATTTTCTCAGCACATTGATAGGATTCCCATGAAAATATACAAACAGAAAAACCGAGCCACAATTCAATCATTCATATGAGATGACTAAAATCCACACCCGATAATCAAAGCATTAATATTTGAGAGGAAAATTTATTACCTGATAATGGAGAATCACCACCCATGATCAAGATTCACAACTCAAAAGAGTTTTCCTAATTTTGTTTGGTTTTGGCGTCGATGGAAACAGTGGATAGTTTCTCGGGAAATGTTCTACTTTCCTGGGAAAATTGTCCGCAGAAAATTCCCCAAGAAAAAGTATAAAATTCAGACATTGAAATAGTTTGGGGAGATAATAAGGCCCCTCACGGGTTTGTCTCGCCAAGTGGCCACCTGCTAACACAAGAGATTATTGGTATTTTTAATTTAATTTGAGATATAAAAATTCTATATCCTATTTTACAATTTTAAGAAAGAAGTGATATTTACACATTCATTTTTGTTGCAGTCATATTTAGAATATGAATGTGATTGTGTAAATCCTAGTGTATTTAGAGATATCTTGGAATATTCTTCTTAGCCTATATTATCCTATTAGAGTTGTAATCCTATTACGGTAAAGATTTAACATATCATAATCCTACTATTATAAATAAAGGCACAATAAGGTGATACAACACACAACTCATAATTAAATCTCTCTCTTCTCTCTCTTGCCGCCGGCCTCTCTCCCTATCTAGTCCTCAATACAATTTAGTCCAATAGGCCTAACACGTTATCAGCACGCTCTTGCCAGCTGTTGCCATAAACTAAGGAACTGAAGGATTGTAGGAGGAGGATTTCTTCTGCAAAATTCAAAGGTTTTTATTTGTTTTCTGCTAATTAGATACGCTTAAAATAAAGTAAGATATTTGAAACGTCCACGAAACATGAAAACATTTCCCATGATGCATGAACCCTTTATATTTATATTTTCCCTTCGATATATATATATATATATATATATATGCACACACACACACATGTTTCATGCATTACGCAATTATTATTTTGCTATGTGGAATTTGTGAGTCAAAGCATATAAATAAACTAGAAGCAATTTGGGTTTTTCATAAACCCTAGAAAAGTTGAAAAAAAAATCTGGGAATTATGCGACAATGTTGTGGCTCGTCGTCACTAACACCATCGTCGACCACCACAGCTGGCTTGCAACTCAGCAGT